CCTACACACCTGTCACCTCCACTGTTCTGTGTCACATAGCTCTGTAGCCTCCACTTTGTGGAACGGAGTATTTCTACAGCAGTGGAATGCACATGTTAATACTGTGAATTCTTCCAGTACATGCTATCAAGGAGAAGTACTGGGTTCTTGAGTGTAAAGGAGATTCCTAATCTAAGCCAGGGAGTCAGGAAAGCCTTCTCCGAGGATAAAACAGAAGAGGTGTATAGATGCCAGGCCTGGTGGCTCATACCTATCATCCCAGTATTCTGGGAGGCCGAAGTAGGTGGATTGCTTGAGCTGAGGAGTTCAAGACCAGCCTGAACAAGAGCTGGTCTTGAACTCCTAAAAAGTAGCCATGTTGACAGGCACCTGCAGTCCCAGTACTTGGGAGGCTGAGGTTGCTGTGAGCTATGATGATGCCATGGCACTCTACTGAGGGTGACAGAGTGAGAGTCTGTCTAAAAAATTAAAAAGAAGAGTTGTTTGGGTAGATATTTAGGATTCTGGTTCTTCTAGGGGAAAGGACAAAAGGTGGCCCAGCTCCCATCTTGGTGCTGCTTCACCTTAATCCTGCTGGAGAAAGACCACCCACACCTGGGGAGGAGGGATCGCCCTATCAATCTACCAATCAGAACTTAGTGTGCCAACTGCAAAATGTTCAGGGGACTCTCCAGCCCACAGTAGAGCCTGGAAGGTGACCTAGAACAACATAAAGCTGTTATGTCATTAGCTTAAATCTGCACTGTGGCTCACAGTCCCCCATCATGGGCATTCAGAGAGGCTCATGGGAGGTCCACATGCACAGTAAGACTCTGTGGTTCCGAGGTGACCAATCCAGACAGTATAAAACAGAATCCCACTCCATGACCAAGGCCTTTTTGATGTAACAAAGGAGGCCCATATGTTTTCTATGGTGAACATATCTTGCTCTTGCTCTGTGAACTTATCTTTCTCTTCCTCAATAAACTTTGTTTCACATTTGCCTTGGTTTTGGTGGGTCTGGATATTCTTCACCCAAGAACACATCAAGAGCCTAGAACACAGACAGCTGCCTGGAATCCTAACAGAGGAACTGAGAGCCTATACTAGCTGAAACATAGAGGGCCAACAGGAGAGGGCAGAGAGAGGGAGGAAGTCCAGTTTACAGAGGGCCAGGATTTGGGTTTTTAACCATTTTATGGGTTTAAACTGTGACTGACATGTTTAGACTTTACAAAGATCAACAAATGGAATGAATTGGCAGGATTAATAACCCCACCTCTCTTCTCCCTACTCCTAGTAGCTTGGAATCCTCACCTTTTGGAGAAGTATAGGTTCATTTATTTGCCATGCATTGGATACTATTTATTGAGACCATACTATGTAGCAAGCTCTGTACTACAGGTTAAGGGGGCACAAGAGCAAACAGGTCAGTCCTAGCATGCAGCGTGAGGATGGGGTAGGATAAAAGGGCAGCATGTCAGGTCACCTGCAACGATGAGAAAAGCACTGGGCAGCTTTGAAAAGGGCGTTGGGCTAGGCAGACCACTTTCTAAATGCCTGAGCCCAGACAAGACACTAAAACCGCTGGACTCAGGTATTTTCCTTCGTAAAATAGGAACCTACCTTTCCGTGATGTTGCAAGAATCGAAGGTAACTATGCACAGTGCTCGACATTCAGTGGATCTTCAGTAAACAGCTTCAGGAGGCAGCAAAGTCATGGCTTCTTCTAGAAAGGTGCCGTGGTGGCTGCAAAACTTGAGGCGAATGCCGGTGACAACGTCTAAAAAAGCCCTCGCTAGGCAAAGGGGCAGCTGACCGCTCCCACCCACTCAGAGAGTGTCGAGGCTTCCCGGAAATCCTGGCTCTAGGGACTTTCCGTATGCCCCTCATGGGACCCCGCCCAGTATTGTCGCCGCCACCACCTACTACAGATGAAGCGGATACACCGCGCGACTTCACCGCAGTTGATACCGGAGCGAAAACGCGGCCGCGGCGCCTTAGCGCATGCGCAGCATGCATACCCCGCCCACTCGAGGCGGGGCCGTGAGGCCTGGCTCCGCCCCGGTGCGTCAGGCCCCGCCTCGGGCCCGCCTCCGACCCTGGGACCCGGGGAGTCAGGCCTGGCCGGCGACGCCCGCTGGGAGGGCCCGGGCACTTTGAGGGTGGACGGGCGGGGCAGTGGCCCCAGGGGCGGTTGCCGCGGGGACCGGGTGGTGACGCGGCCCGAAGGCGGAAGTGAGAAACTCCCGAGGCGAGTTGGCTGAGCTGTGCGCGCGACGCGGCGATGGGGAGCTCGGGCAGTCGTCTGTCCAAGGAGCTGCTGGCCGAGTATCAGGTGCGCGGGACGCCGGGCCCGGAGGCTCGCGTGCGGGCCTGCGCGGGAGTGGGGTCCCGGGGCGGGTGAGGCGGTCGCGGCCTTCACGCGGGCCGCTGACCCCCTTCTGGCTTCGCTTCCCAGGACCTGACGTTCCTGACCAAGCAGGAGATCCTGCTGTGAGTGCCACGGAACCCGCCCGATCCTCTGCGAACGGCTGGGGGCGCGGCCCTGGTGCATTGGCAGCCTGAGCCCGCCCTGCTCCGAGGGAGGGCAGGCCGCCTGGGTCTGCGGGGAACCAAGACGGGAAGCTGGGGGCCCGGGCTGCGCCTCCTGACCACGCCTCTCCCTCCACTTCGCTTTGCACAGCAGGGGCCCCTTTCGCAGGCGTCGGGGAAGGCGGGCGCTCTGCGACCCTGAGCTTGCCGTGCTGTCCTGCCCGGCAGGGCTGCTATGGCTCTTGTTGGACTTTGTCCACCGGCAAAACACAGAGGCCTTGGGGCATCTTGGCTTCTTCCTCTAACTGCATCTGAACGATGCAGTAACCGTTAACGCTCTTGTTAAGGGGTCGTCCCATTACCTAATTCAGCCCTCAGGAGGGAGGTGTACGACAGTGAAACAGGTGCAGAGGGGTTTGGTGCCTGGCCTGAGTAAATGAACTTGAACTTGGGCTAGAACCCGCCCCCACCCCGCCCCGCCTTCCCTGGCCAGCTTTGTGCAGGCTGGGACACTTGAGTGAGGAGATTCTGGGCTTTTAGCAAAGATAATTTCAACGGGAAGGTGGTGGGGCAGAGTAGTAGTTCGGGGTGGGTGCTTTGAGAAGTTGAGACTCTTGGGGTGAAAGTGAGAATCAGATTTTTCTCCCTGTTTTTCAGGGCCAACTTCTGGCTCCTTCCACAATCTCTTCATCTCTCCTCCCCATCTCTAGAATCAGTGCCCAGCACATAGCAGGCTCTCAGTAAATATCAATTGGCAAGAATGGCCTCCCAGCCTGTACTGGCTTGCGATATACCTTGCTTTGGCTCACTGTTGACTGGTAGCAGGCAAGAAGTGGGGTCAGGGCACCCAGACCATCAGCTTGAGAGCGCCAAGTTCCCTTCTCTTTGCCAGAGCCCACAAGCGCTTTTGCGAGCTGCTTCCCCAGGAACAACGAAGCGTGGAGGAGTCACTGCGTGCACAAGTGTCCTTCCAGCAGATCCTCAGCCTTCCAGAGCTCAAGGTACAAGCAAGCCCTCTCCCCCTCCACACACCTTCCCTCTGGCTCTCTGCTATTGGCCTAAAAATCATGGGATCAGGGGGGCACCTGTGGCTCAGGAGGTAGGGCGCTGGCCCCATATACCGAGGGTGGTGGGTTTGAACTTGGCCCAGGCCAAACTGCAACAACAACAAAAAAATAGCTGGGTGTTGTGGCAGGTGCCTGTAGTCTAAGCTACTTGGGAGGCTGAGGCAAGAAAATCACCTAAGCCCAGGAGTTAGAGGTTGCTGTGAGCTATGATGCCACAGTACTCTACCAAGGGTGACAGAGTGAAACTCTGTCTCAAAAAAAAAAAAAAAATCATGGGATCACTGGTCTGCATTTTGGTCTTTTTTCTATCTAGCTGTAATTTCCTGAGGGAAAGAGCTTTACCAAAACTACCCAGCAGAATTATTTGTTTTTTTGAGACAGAGCCTCAAGGTGTCACCCTGGATAGAGTACTGTGGCATCATAGCTCACAGCAACCTCCAACTCTTGGGTCAAGCAATCCTCTTGCCTCAGTTTTTCTATTCTTAGTAGAGAGGGGGTCTTGCTTTTGTTTAGGTTGGTCTTGAACTTGTGAGCTCAATCACCCACCCACCTCAGCCTCCCAGAGTGCTAGGATTATAGGCGTGAGCCACAGTGCCCAGCTCAACAGAATTACTTAGAATGGTGCTTTTCATGTTCTTTTTTTTTATTTTTGTAGAGACTGAGTTTTGCTTTATTGCCCTTGGTAGAGTGCTGTGGCATCAACACAGCTCACAGCAACCTCCAACTCCTGGGCTTAAGGCGATTCTCCTGCCTCAGCCTCCTGAGTAACTGTAACCATAGGCACCTGCCACAATGCCTGGCTACTTTTTTGTTGCAGTTTGGCCGGGGCGGGGTTTGAACCCACCACCCTCGGTATATGGGGCTGGTGCCCTACCTACTGAGCCACAGGTGCCGTCCGCTTTTCATATTCTTGGAAATTCAAAGAAGTTTTGTCATTTAAGATAAGTTGAGCTATCTTATTAAAGTTTGAGAAATGATTCCAGAAGCTGACAGCCACTCCCTAGGGCTGCTGTGAGCTGTGGGAAGGATCCGGGCCTATAAGACAATTGTTAAATGTTTGTGTTTTAAAATAACCAGCCCATCTTGTTCCCTTTGTTTATAATGCTTTCCTTTTCCTTCTCTGCCCCTGCTTAGGTTGTATGTATTCTGACTCCTAGAAAGCCTTCCTGTCTCCTCCCAGCCGAGGCAGTTTGCCCTCCTATGTCCCCAGAGCCCCCATGTTGGCCCCAGAGCACTGCTCATTCTCCCCACAAGCCTCAGTGCTCTGGTGCTGGCACTGTGACTGCTCTCTCGTTTCCAGTAGGGTTTGATGAGAGTGTGACCTGGGCCATCCCTGTGTTCACAGAAGGTTCTTTCACTAGGCCAACCCCTTCAAAGTGCGGATCTGCAGGGTCTTCTCCACGTCCCCAGCCAGAGACAGCCTGAGCTTTGAGGACTTCCTGGACCTCCTCAGTGTGTTCAGTGACACAGCAACTCCCGACATCAAGTCCCACTATGCCTTCCGCATCTTCGGTAAGGAGCAGGAAAACCAATGGGAACACTATCCCTTCCCATGGGGGCTTTGTGGTGGCTCTGATTGGGAAATGGTACCATTGGAGGAACCTGCTGTCCCTCCTAACCACATTTTTTGGCTGCGTCTGCTCTAGACTTTGATGATGATGGAACCCTGAACAGAGAAGATCTGAGCCGGCTTGTGAACTGCCTTACCGGGGAGGGCGAGGACACTCAGCTTAGTGCCTCAGAGATGAAGCAGCTCATAGACAACGTGAGCAGTGGAGCCTGGTGGGGCCACATGGGGTGGGGGTGGGGGTGGGGGGTTCTGGCCTGAAGCTCTCCCTTTCGCAGATCCTGGAAGAGTCTGACATAGACAGGGATGGGACCATCAATCTCTCCGAGTTCCAACATGTCATCTCCCGTTCACCAGACTTTGCCAGGTATGACAGGAGTCCCCATCTGTTCTTTGGGGTCTGGGACATTATTACAGAGATAATAGCAGGGTGGGAAAAAGCCTAGCTTCCTCTGCATGTCTTGGATAGCTTTCCTTCCAGAGGGGACTGACACAGATGGGACATAGCCCATTCCAAAGGGTCTAAGGGACAGGGATATAAGTTTGGGTTTAACCCCAACCCACATTTTTTGTTCAGCTCCTTTAAGATTGTCCTGTGACAGCAGCACCACTGTGTCCCAGAATCCTGTCCAAGAACCTTTCCACTGCTGAGCTGTGGCCAAGGTTATGCCTATGTTGCCAGAGCCGGTCACGCTGGCCCAGCCTGGAGCTGGCACTGCGCAGAACCGCCTCAGGCAGGGAGGGCCCTCCTTGTGGGCTTCTCTCTTCTATCAGCCACTGTCATAGCTGTTTGTTTCTACTAATCAACAATAAAGATTTAGAAGTTTTGACCCTGTGTGTGACACCAGAAAACACTAGTATAAGGCAAGATTGTATGTACTGCTAGGAGCCTTTGATCATACTGTGAATAAGGTGACATTTAAAAAAGGGCCAGGCTGGGAGCAATGGCTAAAGCCTGTAATCCCAGCACTCTGGGAGGCCGAGGTGGGTGGATTGTTTGACCTCAGGAGTTTGAGACTAGCCTGAGCAACAGCAAGACCCTGTCTCTACTAAAAATAGAAAACTAGCCAGTGTTGTGCTGGGACCACAGCTACTCTACTTGGGATGGTGGCTGAGGCAGGATGATGATGGCTTGAATTTGAGGTTGCTATGCACTAGGCTGATGCCATAGTACTCTAGCCCGGACAACAGAGTGAGGCTCTGTCTCAAAAAGATAAACAAGTAG